AAGAGAAAGTCCAAGGTGCAGTAAAGGAATGGCAAAGAACAAGGCACCAGAAATTGATGGAATAAAAATGGAAATCTTTCAAGAAAGTGAGGTGGCACAGGAGGCACTCACTCATCTCTGCGAGAAATTTGGAAGACAACTATCTGACCAACTGACTGGAAGAGATCCGTATTTGTGCCCATTCCAAGACAGGTGACCCAATGGAATGCGAAAATCATTAGACAATCTCTTTGATATCCATGCGAGTTAAGTTTTACTAAAGGTAATACAGAAATGGCTGCATGCATACATTGACAGAGAACTTCCAGAGGTACAAGCCGGATTCAGAAGAGGCCGTGGAACGAGGGATATCATTGCTGATGTCCGATGGATCTTCGCTGAAAGTAGAGAATATCAGAAAGATGTTTACCTGTGCTTTACTGACTACGCAAAGGCTTTCGATTGTGTGGATCATGACAAGCTATGGACAACATTGTGAAGTATGAGTATTCCGGAACACTTAATTGTACTCATGAGGAATCTGTACATGGACCAAAAAGCAGTTGTTCAAACAGAACATGGGAACACTGAATGATTTAAAATTAAGAAAGGTGTGTAACAGGGTTGTATTCTTTCACCATACTTACTCAACCTGTATGCTGAGCAAATAATCCGAGAAGCTGGGTTCTATGAAGAAAAACGTGGCATCAGGATTGGAGAAAGACTAATTAGCCATTAGACAGATGCAAATCAAATCAACAAGATACCATCTCTCACCAGCCATAACAGTCAAATTCAAAAAAGCAAAGGACAATAAATTCTGGGGAGGATGTAAAAGATTGAGACCTTCCTACATTGCTGGTGCAACTGTAAAATGGTTCAGCCACTCTGGAAAATGGTATGGCGCTTCCTCAGACAGTTGGCAGTAGAAATACCTTATGGTCCAGCAATTCCTCTACTTGGTATATATACACAAAAAATATGAGCCAGAACACAAGTAGATATATCCACATCAATGTTTATCACAGCACTATTCACAATAGCAAAAAGATGGAGACAGCCAAAGTGCCCATCAATAGAAGAATGGATAAACAAACTTTGGTACATACACACAATGGAATTTATGCTGCCTTGAAGAATAACAATGAAACTGTAAACCACCTCATAATATGGATGAACCTTGAGGACATTATGCTGAATGAAGTTAGTCAGTCATAAAAGAACAAATATTGCAAAAGACTATTATTGTCAAAGCTTAAGAAAAAATATCCATAGGAAAAAAAAAATCCTTTGTTGGTTACCGGGGTGGGAGGGAGGGGATGACAGAGTACAGGTTAGGTGACAGTTACATCATAACTTGGGTGTTGGGGAGGGCAATACACAAGAATGGGGAGGGATTGGAAGGACAAGGAAGACAGGGGAACACTTAGGTAGGGGAACACTTCTGTAGGTTTGCATGGGATAAATGGGAGAGAGGTAAACTTGGACCAACAGGGCTCTGTGATACAGGGATCAAGGCATAGTCTGAATGGGTAAAAAGAGGGTACATAATGTTAAGATGCTTGACTGTGTTATGGATATTGGCTTCCCTTGCCTACTATGGTAAAACTGACACTTGAGTAAGATAGAAAGGAATATTGGGAAACATGATTACAGAAAGCTTGTAAGCTCGTCTTCAGCTTATAATTGATTGGAATTATAAAAAGATGTTCTAGAACTTGGCCAGTGAAATGGGCTTCTTGTGGAGCCCCATCAAGAACCTTCTGGGGTGGGACATTCCCACTTGAAAGGACATGCAAACCAGCGTAAAGTGGCTAGTGGAACAAAAGATACTTCTTAAAAGAAAGACCAGCAGGGAAAACAAAACAAAAATGGTGCCTGTTTGGCATTACAAGAACAAGCAAGCTTTTCACCTGGGAAGCATCAAGGCAAGCAATCAAGTCCCACAGTACAAACCCCCTTCCAGGACAGAAACTCAAAGGGAACACAAGCAGCCATGTTAGTTAGCTCACTAGTGACTGTGTTGGTCTACTTGTGAGCAGAAGTGGGGGAAAGGCAGTAATGAAGACATGGGCTAAGTTGAACCATGTTCCATAGACTCCTGTCAACTTTGAGAAAAGACAAGAGTAAGGGCTAGATGGTTCAGAGTCTGGGGACACTTGGGAACTCCTGAGCCCATGGACACTGACCTAGCCACTGTAGAAAGAGCTAAGAGTCAAACGTCCAGCTGATACAAAGTGGGGGTAGGCGCTCAAGGATGCCCAAACTTGCAGATAGTACCCATTTGACATAGTTTGGATAGCTTGATGATCAGAACTCGATTAGAAGAAGATAAAGAAATTTGCCAGGAAGCAAGAGTAAATTGCTATAATTTGATGAACTTGACCTTTGCTTATGGATATAGTTGTTCAAAATTCCAACCAAAAGGGAAAGAGTCTTCACATCAAGGATCAGCCCCAGGGGTGATAGGGATAGGCAACACAGACAGACATTGCCTACCTAAAATTGGGGGGTGATAAAGGCACAAAGTGGTTGTCTTCCAAGTTTTCAAGAGGGAGTTTAGTTTCAGAGTGTGTGGGGGAATGTATAATCCCCACTGAATAGCTAGCTATCTTATTGTCTAGATGTGTCAAGTGAAAGGAGATGGCGATAGATTTCTTCTAATTTGACTAACTGCTATCATGACTAATTGTGATGGTCACAACTATAAAAGGAAAAAATGTTTAACAGAAAGGAGGGAGTAGTTAATCTTACATTCCATGAACAGTGGACCCTAGGACCATCAAGAGGGAAGAGCATGAGCGGAATGTGGGATCCTAACCAGAGAAGCAGTGACACCAGAGATGGAGGCAGAGGTGATGGCATGGAGAGACAGAGCATCTAAGGACTTGAGACTCCTGGAAAGAGAAAGGCTGTGTGCTGGCGGAAAGGAGTCTTGCTTGCCAAATATGCCCTTTGGTTGTTTAAATGATTATATATTCCTGCAAATTTTTGTGTACACAAATTTTTTTTTAAATGGAGGGAATTTTAGTCATTGCAAGAAAATAAAATATACAATAAAACAAAATACAATTAGTTGAGTGCAAAAGTGTAAAATTGATGTTCTGTCATTGAAACTAACAATAAAAGCTCTTTAAAAAAAAAAAAAGCAGACTGCCACATCTCATCTTTCTTCAACGGAGTACCTGGTTATTGTGAACCACTGATCTTTTGGTTGGCAGTCCAGGGCTTTAACAATTGTGCTACTGTTGTTGTACTGTTGTTAGGTGCCATCGAGTCGGTACCGGCTCATAGTGACCTTATGCACATCAGACCAAAACAATGCCCGATCATGGGCCAACCTCACTACGGTTGCCACACTTGAGTCCATAGATGCTACCACTTGGCCAATCCATCTTGTTGGGGGTCTTCTTCTTTTAATCTGACCCTCCACCTTACCAAACATGATATCCTTCTCCAGTGACTGCTCCCTCCTGACAATATGTCTGAAGTTTGAAAGACGAAGTTTGGCCATCTTGGCCTCCAAGGAGCACTCTGGCTGCACATCTTCCAAAACAGATCTATTGGTTCTTTTGGCAGCCCATGGCACTTTCAATATTCTTCTCCAACACCATAATTCAAAAGCATCAATTCTTCTACAGTCTTCCTTATTCACTGTCCAGCTTTCGCATCGATATGAGGTTATTGAAAATACCATGGCTTGGGTCAGGTGCACCTTAGTCTTCAAGCTGACATCTTTGCTCTTCCACATTTTAAAAAGGTCTTGTGCAGCACATTCGCCTAATGCAATGTGTTGCTTGATTTCTTGACTGCTGCTTCCATGAGTGTTGACAGTTGATCCAAGAAGAACGAAGTCCTTGACAACTTCAATCTTTTCTCCATTGATAAGAATGTTGTTTATTGGTCCAGTGGTGAGGATTTTTGTTTTCTTTACATTGAGATGTGATCCATAATGAAGGCTGTGATCTTTGATCTTCATCAGTAAACTTTTTAAGTCCTCTTCACTTTCAGCAAGCAAGGTTGTATCATCTGCATATCGCAGGTTGTTATTGAGTCTTCCTCCAATCCTGATGTCATGTTTTTCTTCATATAACCCGGCTTCTTGGATTATTTGCTCAGCATAATATGAATAAGTATGGTGAAAGAATACAACCTTGTCACACACCTTTCTTAATTTTAAACCATTCAGTGTTCCCATGTTCTGTTCGAACAACTGCCTCTTGGTCCAGGTACAGTTTCCTCATGAGCACAATTAAGTGTTCAGGAATACTTCTTGTTGTTGTTAAGTGCCGTCGAGTCAATTCCAACCCAAAGCGACCCTGTATAGGGTTTCCAAGGAGGAGCTGGTGAGCTTGAACCACCAACCTTGCAGTTCAAACGACTTTGCAGTCTGACGCATTAGCCCACAGCACCACACCAGGACTCTGTTCAGGAATAATAGAGTGCTTTAATTCACTTATGTTGTTGTTAAGTGCCATTAAGTCAGTTCCTACTCATGGGAACCTGTATAGGGTTTCTGAGGAGGAGCTGGTGGGTTTGAACTGCTGAACCACCAATCTTGTGGTTCGCAGTACAGTGTTTATCCTACAGTAACACAACAGGAGTCCAATTCACCTATTGTTGTTGTTCACCTATAATAGAAGCTAAATTGGATAAAGAATTTTAAGTCCTGGTGTGGTGCTGTACGATAAACTCTAGACTGCTAACTACAAGGTTGGCAGTTCAAACCCACTAGCTGCTCCTTAGAAACCCTATACAGGGTGGCTATGAGTTGGAACTGACTTGACAGCCCTTAACAATAATATTGTAAGAAAATAATTCATACTGAAAAATTACTGGCATGGAACAGAGATCAGGATTTTACATCACACCCCAAAATAGTTTTAAGAAATTTATCACATTTTTATAATGTTTTTATCATCAAAAGGAATACAGGTATATGAAAGCAAATTGCAACCAGAATCTGCTTTAAAATTTTTAATTTGAGTTCCTAAATATTAGTCCTTAATTATTAGTCTTACCTGCAAAATCTTTCACATTCACATTTGCCCCTAAACTTATTAATTCTTTAACTTGTTTCACATCTCCTCGAATAGCTGCCATGTGTAAAGGAGTTTCACCACGCTCATTTCTTTTATTAACTTTATCTTTTTGTCGAGATGAGGAACTAGCAGTTTTTTTGGGGGTTGGTGTTGTTTGTGACGGATGATTTGGTGTAGAATCTATAAGAAAGAAAAAGTTAACAAGAGTTTCCAGGCTAAGTATTCCGCACAGTTATATAAAGGTTTTTATTGGTTCTGTTTGAATTTCCTGGATCAGAAATGGAATACCTTTTCAACCAGTTATTTCAAATCTTAATAATTTGGCCCAGATATGTAAAATATTGGGTTATCAAATATCACCTGAGCCAATTTAGGAAAATGTTTTACTCTGTCAATTTATAATATTGGTTTAAAGGATAATAAAGTATTAAGTATACATACTAAAATATTGCTCAATCAGTAATTTGATGAATTGGAAAACAATATATTTTTCATAGGCATGTTAAAATAACAGAGAAGAATTAGATGAAATGAACTTGAGGGCTGGAGTTCACATGTCTATTTTTATATTAAATGTAAATTAGTCATGGATGATTTCAGTATTAAAAGGAATATTGGTACATAAATACAAGATCTAAAAGGTGTTAGGAGAGTTTAGATATAGTCCTATAAAAACTGAGCTGTTAAAAAAAGAATCTAAATGTACACATCAAATATCAACGCTATCCCCTCTGCATACAGGGTAGATGCAGTTGAGGGCTCTAGATTCTTGGGAAGAGAGGGACTGAGAGCTAGTGGCCAGGAGGCAGGCTTGCAGAATGTGACCTTTGGTTGTTTAAATTATTATATATGCCTGAGTGTTTGAAAAAAAAAAAAGCTAAAATGAATATAGAAAAATACTGTTAACTGATGATACATGAAGGGGATTATAATCATTGTAATGAAACAAAGCATATGATTTGTTGAATGTAAAACTGATGATCTGCCCTGTAAATTTTCACTCAATTCACAATAAAAAAAAAAAAAAATTGAGCTGTTATAGAACAAATTAAATTCATAAAAGATTATGCTAGGCATGACCAAAATAATTCTCATGCAAACAATAAAAAGTAGTAACGTTCAAACTGACAATCTTGCTAAAAAAAGACAGATAATCTATTAACAAAAATTCTAAACTACAAGCATATCTACCTGCTGGCGAACAGCTTGATATTTTAAAAGCTTTTCACTCTAGTTCTATACATGTTAATACAGAAAGGTGACATGGATCTCCACTTAAAATAACTAAATACATACAGGATTATAGTATAATCCCAACCAAACCCAACCCACTGCTATCAAAAGTTGATTCTGACTCATAGCGATTCTATAGAGTAGAACTGCCCATAGGATTCCCAAGACTGTAAACTGGACTACAGTCAATTTGAACCACAAAGGTTGGTGGTTCAAGCTTACTAGCTGCTCCTCAGAAACCCCATTCAAAGTCACTATGGTTTGGAACCAACTTGAAGATACTTAACAACAACAATACCAATCTTTATGGAGGAGTCCTGGTGTGCTGGTATAGGACAAGCAGTTTGAATTGCAAGTTCAAAATCAATAGCCGCTTCTCAGAAACCCTATACAGGGTGGCTATGAGTTGGAACCGACTCAACAGCACTTAACAACAACAACAACAAACTTTATAGAAACAAACTGCCACATCTTTTCTCCTGCAAAACAACTAGCGGGATCCAACCACTCACTGACCTGTCAGTTAGCAGCATGCTTAAACACTACATCACCTGGGCTCTATTGTTGTTGTTAGGCATCACAGAGTTGGTTCCTACTCACAGTGACCCTATCTATAACAGAATGAGCAACAACAAAAGATATGGATTTTTATACTTGTATATAGCTAGAGCAATTCTAAAAGAACATACTGAAGCAAACCACTTGCCACTGAGTCGATTCTGACTCCATGGAGACCCCAGGTGTTTCAGAGTAGAACTGTGTCCACAGATTGCCAGGTCTTTCTTTCAAGGCACATATGAGTGGGCTTGAACTGCCAACCTTTCAGTTATTAGTTAAGAACAGTTTGTGCCACTCAGGGACCCTTTAAATACATATGACATTGTTATTAAGTGCTATTTAATCCATTCCCAGTCATTGCGACCCTGTAGAGGGTTTCTAAGGAGCAGCTGGTAAACTAAGGTTGAACCACGAACCTTGTGATTAACTGTACAGTGCTTATCCTATAGCACCCCAACAAGAAACTATTGATAATGGTTATCTCTGAAAGTGAGGGCATTGCCTTAACAGCTTTTAATTCTTTCATTTATTCAAAGAAGAATAAAGATGAATGATACACAAAAAATTTGTTTTAAAATATTATTTCTATCTAACTATTAAATCTTACAAAGTCAACATTTTAGAGAAACTTTAAAAAATTTTTAACTAAAATAACTTTAATTTGGTCAGTATTTCCCTGGTTTTAGGTGGGAAAATAACCCAAACAATATACTGTAGTTGAAGAGCAAGAAGCCTTATAATATTTTTATAAGTATAAGATATTACATACACTGATGATTTGGTGAAACTATGTTACTTAGAATTGTTAAGAATTGAACACTCTCCCAGGTTTTAAAGTAAAAAGAACAGAGGGAAAATGGTCTATTTCAAAGCATTCTAAAAGGGTCTATTATCCTGGTGTGGCACTGTTTGATAAGCACTGGATTGTTAACTGCAAGGATGGCAATGCAAATCCACCAGCTGCTCCTCAGAAACCCTATGAGTTGCAATCAACTTAACAGCGCTTGACAACAACCACATTATACTACCCAGACATTCATATGAAGACACCTTGACATCAGAGCCAAAATACCTTTTTTTTCCTCCAGAAAAAACTGACTTACTTTCTGTTAGCTACTTCTTCCCATCAGTACTTCTGGAGACCCTGTGTGGTGCTGGGGGTTAATACTCTGGATTGCAAGGTCAGTGGTTTAAGCTCAGCAGTCACTCTTGGGAAACCCTATACAGGGTTACTATGAGTCAGAACTAACTTCATGGCACTTAACAATAACAACACTCACTTTGGGAAACCCTATGCAGGGTCCTATGAGTTGGAACCGACTCGATGGTACATAACATCAGTCAATGAGAGTTATATAACTTCATGTGAGACAACTTAATTAGAAATATGAAATAAATGTAGGTAATGCACTGTAGTTAAAGCAGAAATGGGTTAAACAAAACTTTTGTTTTAAAAGCACTTAACTCTAAGTGGATTTCTCAAGTTGAGTAATCCACTTCTAAAGTAACTTGGGAAACATTTACTGAATGACTACTAAGTACAAAGATTAGCTCTTGTTTAAGGTTCTAATTGTGTGGAGGACAGAGACAACTAATTGTCACACAAATGTAAAATCACAAACTTAAAATTCTGTTCAAATCCAGGAAAGAATCAAAATTAAGAGTTGTTAGAAATGGTATAACAAGGCTAAAAATGCCTTAAGAAAACTAAGAATGCACATATGATAGGAGGATCACCTGGACTGTTGTCTCTTGCTGTCATCTGCATAAGAAGTGCCATCTGCTTTCTCTCAGAGAGTGGATAACCAAAAAGAATGCTAACTGGTGTGGATTTCTTATTTCCAGCTTCCTTTTTTGTCTTCTTCTTTTCTGGACCTTCTTTCTCTGAAATTATAAATAGAAATGTAGGAATTTGAAACAAATTTTAAGTACTCAAAAGCAAAACATACGATTTTTAAAATAGATGATATATATATATACTGCACACCTCATTGTAAAGAAAAAAGTCTTCTCCGCTGGTCCAAGAAGTAACATCATGATAAACAGAGAAATGACTGAAGCTGTCAAAGGCTTCATTTTGCTCAGATTCACAATCAACACTCATGGAAGCAGCAATCAAACAACTATTACATTAAGCAAATCTTCTGCAAAGGACCTTGTTAAAGTGTTAAAGACTAAAGATGTCACTTTGAGGACTAAGGTGGGCTTGACCTGAGCCATGGTATTTTCAATTGCTTAATATGCATGTGAAAGTTGGACAATGAATAAAGATCAGAGAAGAATCAATGCATCTAAATTATAGTGTTGGAAAAGAACATTGAAAGTACCATGAAAATATCAGAAAAACAAACAAATCTGTCTTGGAAGAAGGATAGTCTGAACACTCCTTAGAAGCAAAGATGATGAGACTTTATCTCTTGTTGTTTAGACATGTTGTCAGGAGGAACCAGTGCCTAGAGAAGAACATCATGCTTTGCAAAGTGGAGACTCAATGAAAAAGAGGAAGATGTCCAACAAGAATGACTGACACAGTAACAGCAACAATGGGTTCAAACGTAACAATCAGGAGGATGGTGCAGGACTGAGCAGTGTTTCATTCTGTTGTGTATAGGGTTGCTATGAGTCAGAACTGACGCGACAGCACCTAACAACAATATATGTATGTGAGAAAAGTGTATAACATATAAGCTAGTAATATCTAGACAGAAAACACTAAATTTTTATAATAACTGGTATAAGCAAATTTTTTCCTGAATGCTTTGAGATAAAATATAATCTTAATGTTGTTGTTTTTAGAAAATTAGTAACATTTAGAAATTTACTTCTAATAAAGTGTTTTCATGATTTATTCTATTAAAATTTAACTTCTTCAGTTATATGTCAAATATCTGAAAAACATTTCAAATATTCAAAGCTGGAATTATATCTTTGAAACTTTTATTTCATTCACTATAATTTAATTCTTAATTACTGCTAAACCTATATAGCAACATTCAAATTACTTCGCTGATTTTACTAATGATTTGTATATCACTTAGACAAGTTTCAACACACTGCTGCTGAAAAAAGTACATAAAGTACCATATCACTTTCTTCTGTTGTTGTTGTTACGTGCTGTGGAGTCGGTTCCGACTCATAGTGACACTGTACAGGGTTTCTGAGGCTGTAAATTTTTACGGGAACAGAAAACCTCACCTTTCTCCCGTGGAACAGTGGTAGTTTCAAACTGCTGACCCTGTAGCCCGATTTGTAACCACTACGCTACGCTACCTTCTAGTCATATGACTAGAAATATTTATCAAAGCTGAAAACTGGAAAATTAGAGGTTTTGGTTGTTGTTGTTGTTGTTGTTAAGTGCTGTTGAGCTGTTTCCGACCTATAGCAACTCTACATAGGGTTTCCAAGGAGTGGTTGGTAAGTCTGAACTGCCGACCTTGTAGTTCAAACTGACTTATGGTCTAGTGCTTTTCCTACAGTGCCACACCAGGACTCCATTAAAGAGCAACTATTTTGTTATCTCTAAGTGAAAAATGGAAATTCAGTGTGTAAATTACTTTAAAAGGTTCTGTGTAACAGTGGGTTAAAAGAGATGCTGCAAATATCCAAAAATACCTAGACCCCCTTTCAAAAAGATCTGATCTGCCTTAAAGTTGGCTATTAGATTTAGCAATGCATCTAGCATTTCTCATTAAGTGTCAGGAAAAACAGATTAAACTGGATTTTAATAGGTGAAAGAGGTACAGAGTAGGTATTTTTTTTTTCCTTTATGAATTTTCTGGGCGTTAATACAGGTGGCCCTATGCCAGGCAGGCCTGGTTATTAACTGTCTAGGTATCTACTTCTTGGGAAAAGTAGCCTTTTTAGAAATATCTGGCTTTACAGGTCAAGATTTGAGGGTCCTTGCAGAAAAAGAGCTTCAAACTTTAAAAAATTTAATGTAGCCAGCAAATAGAATACTCTAGAAGATACATATGTATTAATTTAGAAAGGTCTAAAAAACTAGTAAAAGTTTGATATTATTAGTTGGCCCAAGAACTTAATTCTTCCAGTGTACCACTTATTAAGATACTGGTATCCAAATGAGCTAGAAAGATTACGGGACCTAATCCTCAAACTTTAGTGCCCACAAACCATTCAAAATTCAGTAGCTCCTAAAATGTTGATTTAAAAAAAAAAAAAACATAAAAAAAAATACTCAAGACTTATTTAAACCCAAATTTACTTAGAGTAATTTAGTATTTTATATTTACATTTCTCATACTGTTGCCATTAATAATCTAATTTAGTATAAATTCAGTCTTCCCTCAGAATTCAACTTGCCACTAAATTTATTATATAAAGCCCAAAATAGCTCTTTATAGGAGTCCTGGTGTGACGCTGTGGGCTAATACACTGGACTGCAAAGTTGATTTGAACCACAAGGTCAGCAGTTCAAGCTCACCAGCTGCTTGTTGGAAACCCTATACAGGGTCGCTATGGGTCGGAACTGACTTGGTGGCACTTAGCAATAAAAAAATAAATAGGTCTTTTGGGAAAGCTTATTTTTTTTCCTAAAACACATACTTTTTATGTTAATTTTCTTTATGCCTTGGTTCTCTAAGCATAAATAATCAATTTTGACAAGTGGTGAGCTCACATTTTAGAAAAATGTTGGTATTTTAATGGCTTTCTGTCTGAATTAGAAGTATTTAAATAAATGAATGTATGTTCCCCTTAATAGTAAAATATTTAAAAGTGTGACTATTTTATAGAAAGCAGATAAGAAAATATGGTTTAAGGAAAAAATATAAGATCTCAAAATTGGAAAAAAACAAAACAAGGGAGAAAACAATACACTCTATTGAATGTTTTATAAAGAATGCACTTTAACATGACTCAGCTTACAGAAAAAAAGTGAGACACTTATAAATTCATTATTAGAATTACATTATGCCAAATAAACATTATTAGAATTACATTATGCCAAATAATTGCCTAATTGGATATACTATAAATATTCAAGTAGAAATTCAAATGAGATGCTGCCATACAATTTGTAGTCTATTTTTCTTCTCTAAGTTGAATACCTTAGTGATTTGTCTGAGTTCATGTTTTACATGGGTTAAGGAAAAGAAGTTACATGAACCAGGTTACATATAACTAGATACATGTATCATTCTTTAATATCATAAGCATAATGTTAGCACATTTGAAAGTACTCAACAAGACTTTGACTATTTGGGGTCTATCCTGTGAAGTACTTTTTCCCTCTGACCTGTCCAAGTAAAATATCATACTGTATACTTGAAAAAGAGTTAGGTACTTCTGAAGTTTAAGTTACAGAAATAAGTTTTTGTTTGTTCCATAACAGACCAAAAGTTTAACACATCAGTACACAGACAACAATGCACAGTCTACTATAGATGTGAAATTCCCCTTAGCCTGTCTAGAGATTGTTGTTGGTAGTTGCCATTGAGTTGATTCTGACTCATGGTGACCCCATTACTCCACATATCTTCTGTGAATACTCTGGATAAATTTGAACCATCAACTTTCCGACTAGTAGAAAAATCTTTTTTTATTTTTTTTTTAGTAGCTTAATCTTTTGTGCTGCTTAGGGATCCAGCCTAGAGATAATTTACAGGAAAAAAAATTTAGAAGATTTACTTAAGACTATGTAAAAGCAAAAAAAAAAAAAAAAAAAAAAAAACTTCCAAAGAAATGGGCTTTTAACCATCCAACATTCTTTAAGGGTTCACAGAACCTTCTGAAATGCTTTTCTCTCAGGTCAACAATGACACATCCAAGAAGGTACATTAAGGAAAAAAGACAACCTGGTTTTTCTTGGAGAATTGGTTAATAAATATCCAGTGTCTAAAAAATGAAATATAACATTTCCCCACAAAGCATTGTGTAAGAAATGGAACACACTGGATGTGTATAATTAAATCAATCACATTTATTGTGTGTATACCTGCAACATGTACACTTTACTTCTAAGAACAATTTTTGCCGTTACTTTCTGGTTCTAAAATAATTTCACAAATCTCCAACAGTTCTGGGTCTGTATTTTCTGGTTGCTGATTTCTGGCAATGACATTAAGACCATATATTGATTCATCATATAAAGCTCTTTCAAGTGGATTTAGGTGCTCAGTATTTGCTACTGAGTTGATTTTGACTCATTGTGACCTCATGTGTTGCAAATTAGAACTGAGCTTCATTGGATTTTCAAGATGTAACCGTTCAGAAAAGCAGATTGTCAGGACTTTCTTATGAGGTGCCTTGGGGTGGGTTCAAAACTCCCAATTTTTGGTGAGCAGTTGAGCGCTTAACCATTTATTTCAGCCACCCAGCAACCCCATTTTAGAAAAACACACCAAATTCCACAATAATTGTATGTCTTTTATATGTAATGTTGATTTCCCTCCTGTTCAAATTGTGATAATTATGCACTATCAATTTATCATCTCAATCACTGGCTTTGTGAACAATTTTAAGGGTGTCTATTTGGTTTCACTACCACTCTACCTAAACTGCACATATTTATTTAGGGTCTAAACAATACTTGGAGTCCTGCTGAGGCAGCACTGTGGGTTAATGTGTTGGACTGCAAAGTTGGTTTGAACCGCAAGGCCGGTGGTTCAAGTTCACCAGACACACCTTGGAAACCCTATACAGGGTTGTTATGGGTCGGAACCAACTCAACAGCACTTAACAACAGCAAACAATATTTACATTAAGAAAAGCCTAGAGATCAAAATGTCAGCCTATATGAAAGAAAGGAAGAAAGAAGAAAAGCATGCCCAATACTAAACATACTAGAGAACACATTTATTATTTATTTTAAAATAATATTTATATATTCTCTTGTATCCATGAATCAAGGCACACAATATTGTACCCTAGCAGAACATATAAGTCCTAACACAGTTAATGATAAAGGCATTTCTCAGGGTAACCTGATGTCTTAATCCACTTTTAGCTAAAATTAAAATGTGTAGCACAGTCAATAAAGACTACTGAGTTCAATGAAAGAATTTTATTTTTTTAAAACACTGTGTGATTTAAGGGTTAAGATTACACTGTCCATTACAATCAGTATATTTGGTATACTTTGTAAAGGATATAAAACCTAAGGACTATAGCACTCAGTACTCCAGGAGTTGTTGCCTTTCCCATGTCTTTTTATATGAATAGTATCCTCAAGTTGTGCTGTACAAAATCTGAGTGATGGTATAGAGTAATCCTACTTAAACAGTGCATTTATTAGATATAAGGGACTGGATATCGCAATAAAAACTGGATAATTTAGAGTCATTCATGTATTCATTAACTCAACCAAAGATATCTATATACTAGTTTGAAAAGCTATTTATAGTATAATAATTAATTGCAAATGTCACAGAAACTGCTGGCTAAAGAGGAGGACCTAATAATCTAATTACCTGAATATGTCCTGTAAGAAGATATAAGTCTCTCCCCCCAATTTTCACTTGTATGTCCTGGATCTGAATCTACAGAATGAGAAGAGACAGGAGAAAAGGAAAAAAGCACACGAAGGAAAATGCAGAATTCAACAAACCAACATTTTTAAAAAAGATCACCAGTTAATCAATGATTCATCATTAGTTTTCCAAAATACTATTTTTAAGGTAAAGCCAAAGCACATTTAAAACTCAGATTTGTCCAGCACCTAAGATTTTAATTTCTTCAAGTGGACTATCTCACAAGTTGAGAAAATCAATTTGTAGTTTGCAATAATAGATATCACTGATGTTGCTTATTAAAACATACCATTTCTGAATAATAACGATAATACTCTTATCACCATTTCTCTGCTTAGAATGTGTCTTTAGAAAACCTGGGTAATCGAGCTGAATCACTCTTTTTGCTCTGTGAATGCCAAAACTATGCAGAAAACAATATAACACTTGCACTGCAATATAATTCTACACTATAGACATTTCTATCATTTAGACACATTTCAAATCATACAACCATATTACACTGATAACTACTAAAGTCCTCTCAAAAAGAAAGTAGCCTATATCAGAACAGAGTATATCTTAAGAACATGAAGTTCTGCCTAATGACTCCTGATAAAGGTATAAGAATATGGAGAACGGGCTCTGGCCATATGATGGGGCTTCAAAAAGTTGGTGGGAAAATGGAAATTAAAAGATAAAGGCATTCTTCCACAACTTTTTGAGGCCCCCTTGTTATGTCCAGAGCAGTTACATCATTTAACTCACAATAACTCACAATAATAATAGTGTGATCTTTGCATCCTCAGTTTATTGACACTCTTCCTTCCGTAATCATTACTATACACGTTATTCATGAGTTCAGTTAGGTATAAGGAAGCAAAAGTATTGAAAACACCAGAGAACAAGTAAAACCCTTTAACATAGTATTTAGAAATTTTAAAGGTAAGCTTCAAAGTTTAGCAATAAGGTTTACTCACTCAAAAAGGAGAAGTATAACATTTAGACAAATTCTGAAGTAAATGGTTTTAACATTTTTTATTCATTTCCAAATAGGAGTTTCTGACACAGTATGAAAGTTCAAACTTAGCCCTTCAACCTTATCCTAAACAGTAGGTTTTTTTCTTTTTAACCCTGAGATAAAATGTGGTATCATTACACAACTCAAGCACTTGTTCCAAAGTGATAGTTATACTGTAGGATCTACCAGGCCAGGGATTATGTCAGCTTTATTTACCAATGTGCATTCAGAGCTTAACACAGAAATTGGCAAGTAGATATCCAATTATTTGTTAAATGGATAGAATGTTAATGTTTTTCAATAAACACTTCTATTTTGGAACTGAATGCATAAGTTAGCACATATAAGAATTTCATAAAGAATTGTTGTTGTTGGCAAGTACCGTGGAGTCGGTTCCGACTCATAGTGACCCTGCACAGGGTTTCCAAGGCTGTAAATCTTTACAGGAGCAGAAAGCCTCATCTTTCTCCATTGGAA